CTAAGGTCGACACTCCAGAGACGGCAACTGTACCGCCCCCGGTTTACACTCCTCCACCTAAGGTTGACACTCCAGAGACGGCAACAGTACCGCCTCCCGTTTACACTCCTCCACCTAAGGTCGACACTCCAGAGACGGCAACAGTACCGCCCCCGGTTTACAAATCCGAGACACAACAAACTGAGGAGACTCCGGCGTATGAAACCACGGCGCCACCTACTTACGTCCCGGAGCAGCAAATTGAGGAGACTATGGCTCCATGCGACTCTGAAGTTCCAGTCGTTATTAATACGGAAGATACCGAAACTTCTTCATATCGGAACCTACGCTTGATCTAACTGTAAGTCGGCTTCGGACAGGTCAAGCAAAGTTTACTCCTCGTGTCACTTCACATATCATAATTTCTAGAAGATCCGCTTGTCATTTTAGTTTCAGAACTATTACAGATAATACATTTACTTGCACATGCAAAGCGGTGTTTGAAACAATCAGAGGATATAATAAATTGCCTACGTGACTTACTTATATGCCAAAAAATCGACATTGATTCAGATTTTGCAGCACATGAGTAGCGCGCCGCAGCCAGTTCGGTCGTCTCTTTGCTGGTTTATCTTTATGCATTTACTGAACTGTAAGTATAAAACTTATCTTTGCTCGAATCTATTATTACAAAGAGGCAAAGAATAAGCCGAAGGAGAATAAGGGCCGATGGTAAGGCTAGTCATCGCATTGACAAAACTTGGTTTTAATGAATCAACCCTGGCTTTAAAGTTCCATCACCATGTTATTGACAACAATGTCCCTATCATTACAGAGATTTCCCGTCTACATGCACTGTTCCTTAATCATTGCACAGTGAGATCGAGGGATCGGCATCCCGGTAATCAGCCGCATCACCATTGTCGGAAATGTTGTCTATCGTAACTACCCCACTATACCTAAGCTTGACACAAGGTTTTGTGTTCCCGCCATTATAAATTTATGTAAGTGATTCGCACTCTATTTTTCTTCCTGAGATCTCGCAATCCATAAACACATGTTTGCGATCTCACAATTTAGTTCCTGGATTATTGGAATTCGTCGGACAAAAACGACGGAAGATATACCGACAAATTGTTCATAAACCATTCAATCCTCCCGAATCTAGTGGCGTTATCACAACCGCAAATCATTTGGGTCCCATATCATCCATATCTATAGATAATGCTGACTCGACGGCTTACAAATCTCTCAAACTACTGCTCTTCATGTGATCGTCAGTAAAATATCTAAGTTTGCGTTTCAGAAAAAAAAATAGAAAAAGTCTTTGTTTCCTGATTGCACACGTTTCGCGTCTTGATAACATGATCTAGCAATTAAATATTTTTATTGGAAATGCCGATTAAACACCAAAAGCAAATCTTCAATCTGGTTGGTGTACAACATTCACTGATTCTTTTCTTGAGCTGACAGCTCTATTCTCAAAAAGCCTTTAGCTTGCGAGGTAGTCAGATAAACGAAATTCTAGTGCACTGTCAAGTCTCAAATCATTTTTTTTGAAAATTAACGCGCTGTGCGAAATCACTTTCGTATGTGAGAACTTGGCTTTAGATGATATGTCCGCACTTTCTGTTCTCGGACTGAAATTCATGTTTGCTTGAGCAGTTTTCATGTGCTCACATCATCACGCGAGCTCGACGCCTTCAAATGTGCTTCAGGGAGTTAGTGTTTTGGAGTAGCTTTTGCTGCTAGCCTTCGGTCTAGTCTTGATACATCTTTGATGCATGATCTAAAAGCAACTGATGACTTCACTTGCTCATCAATCGAGTTCGCCTTAGACCTACCTCACGAGCTGGATTTCTGTTCACGATTTTCGTCGGTGATTTGCGTTAACGAAGGCAACTGTCCTCGAACGGAAAGCGTCACCAGTTTGACGTGCTAGCCAGAAACGTGGAGAGGTACATTTCTATTCGCCAATGTAGATAATTTTAACGAAGCTGCCCTATCAAACACTCAGTAATAAGAAGAAAATATCTGACCTAACTGAGTTATCATCAAATCTTGGTGAAGTCATCAGTAAAACTATGATCAGTAGAATGGCTATATTTATAGGCACTAATACCGTTGGAGTCAAAATAGTCTTCAGCGAATTATCTTGTTACTTCGTGGGGTATAACCACTTGACTGGGAAGAAGCATTAACGTCACTCCCAGAAAGAGAGAGAGCTATTATTGGTACCATGTCATGTCCTAATTTTGAGTCTTATCCATCATCAAACCATGAGATTGTGCTTGCCTAGTGATTGCGCTTAGAAGTTTTGACGTCCGGCTGGTTAATGTTCATTCCAAATCTCGCTTTCAAGCACTCAAGCAGCCAATAGATCCACTTCACTACCAACTTTCGCAATGAAGATCACCATCACGCCCGCTTGTGCGCTTCTCTGCCTTCTTTCGAGTGCCCCTTGTGTGTCGGCTAGAAACTTTACCGCTCCTGTTCATGGCTCTGATCCGACCAAAAATCACATCAAGACCGCAGCCAATTTTGACAGTAAAGGTGTGAAGATGGAAGTTTGTCCATCTGGCGACTGCAAGACTGGCAAGTTTATGCAGCTGACAGTCACAAGTCTAACAGAGCTGGACTCGAAAGGAGTAAAGGTGGAGTCAGTCACTACTTTCAAGCCAAAAGATAGCGATTGGACTGCCATAGCGGAGGAAACAGTCAATGGCGTTTCAGTTTCATCAACGACGTTTGTATCCACAGTTGAGGTTGGCACTACTAAAACTCCAGTGGGATTCAATCTTACCGCTAAAATCTTTCAAGGCAATGCCACTGTATTGTACGGCAGTCAAAATTTGTCCGTGCCCGCAGGATCTCTTAAATTTACCGTGGATATGGGCATTTGGCCATTTGCTAATCTTGCCAATACGTTATCTCTTGCTATCAAGCTCGACGCTAAAGGGCCGAAAGGCTCAGATATCGGAAAGCCGGCTAAGAAGTTGCAGGCAAGCAGTGGCAAAAACACTACCGTCCAACGTGTTTCTATGGGAGATTCCATGTTCATGGACGCTCCATCCATCGTCATTCTCGATGGTGTAGAAAAGAATGTGACCAATTCGTCTGTTGTCACAGTTGGTGCTGATACTTTTTTCGAATGGGTTTTCCCAAATTTTGCGAAGACTCTGCACTATGACCCTGTGCTCGGTGATGAAAGCGTCAGCACTAGTACGAGCACTAGCAACGGTAGCAACACCAACTCGAGTAGCGGTAGTAGTAATGACGGTGGGACCACGCCTACTCCTGCTCCTTCTTCATCCGCCGTAACACTATCGATCTCGAGCCTTGCGGCTGCTGGATTTGCTGTTTTTGCCTACATCCTATACTAGGGTGCTAATCAAATGCCACAAATCTAAATTCTTGGTAGGCTGATGAAAGAATAAATTTTATCAATTAATCAAATAAATACACGATGCCGTTACTTTACTTACTCTCAGAAATTCGTCGCGTTCTTGTGCTTTATACAAAGAAAAACGCTGATATAGTCTCAATTGTGTTCAGTCTTGCAGCATGATCTGCTGCACCACTCTCACCATAAATTTTGATACCACGTAGCGTAATCCTCTCTGATTTCACTTTCAACGAGGTAGACCGATGACGATCGTATGCGAACGATTGTTTCAGGTTGAAGGCAAATACTTATGGGTGAAGGCTACAGTCTCGAAGTGCTACTTCTAAATCTTGCAAGTACTTGCAACATTTTTGGTGTCTAGTCAACCGCACTACATCCCCTGAACGCGTGTCGATTGAGTAGCAAGATATTCTTCAATACTTTAAGACCTTTAATGAGAGGAGCAAAAGTAGGCTGCTTAACTCCAGGACTTGCAATTTAAAGTCAAAATGTCTTCTTTTGATTGCATGTACAGGCCACAGCATAAAGAGGATGCGAAAATAACAATTGACATATCAACGTGTGTGTCCTTAAGACGCAATCCACACAAAATATGACAGTATACTCAACAATTTTTAAGATGAGGACACAAGGTAGACATGAAATAATTTGCCTAAAATATCATTGCCAATTAATGGTTTAATTTTCGTTCGCTTAGACAAGATACATTCCCTACTGAAAGTGAGGTAAATATTGCTCTAATCGATAATAAACAATAAATTAATTTCGACCATCACATCGGTTTTGCAAAAGAATTGGAAACCTTGGAGGTGATAGTGACGCTACGTAAAGTGCATGACTAAGTCTAGGCAGCATCTGTTGAAATGATTGTAGAAAGTTTTGTTCGTAGACTGAAACATAACTGTCCTGGCATGTATCGGGATCGTTCCAGGTACTCAAGTAATTGTCGTTTTCAAAATGTACATGAGCAGCACAATATTTTCTACTCTTTCGCGAACGTGTGCAGCTGTCAACTTCACAACGTTGGCCACCACCATGTGCCCAACAGAACATGCTACGACTTTGTGCGCTCTTAGTGCAACCCCCGACAAAATGGCATCGACGACCACCTCCATGCCCCCGGCACAATCCTTTGCTTACTGCCATTTTGCTGCACTCTGGAAACAAACAGCGCTTTTGAGCGCTCTGACAGGACGCTGAAGAAAAAATTGCTCTCTGTGCATACCGCTTTAAAGCGGTCACTTTTTTTTGACGATCATCTTTAGTCCGTACCAACGCAATAGAAGCTGGCAAAGCTCGTTTTTGTGGAATACATGCCATTGGAGATATAAGATTTTGGGAGTGGAGTTTTTGGTCTGGTGGGCTCCAAATGATCTGTTTTGCGGTTAGATCACTCGCAATATTACTCATTTTGTCGCTGAATTCTGATATGTAAAGTACAAATGAGTAACGTGGAATATCAATATGGAAATAATTTGTACTAATCCTTACTGAGAGAGAAGCACTGTTATCTTGAGGTAGATTGATTAATGCCAAAGGAACTAATAAGTTGAAGATTACGTTAGCTTCAATTGATATCACAGAATTTGCGTTTTTAGTCAGCGGACTTCAATGTTTTGTCGGTTATTTTCCGTTAAAGGAAGCTTGTCATTGATAAAAAATGGCTGGATCTGTAAAACCAAACAGACTATCACTCCAAATCAACTTTGGAGCAATTATGCGCTGGTCTGAGACAATCTTGTGATGCTAGCTCAACATTAAAAATACCTATAACCGTTTTGTCATTAAAATAATTGTTTAAAGGGGTGATCTTTGTCCTGTATGCTACATTTTCATATATGATTTTGTCACTTTGATTTAAAGATGCCTTAGTGCACCAGCTCAATTTTGTGCTAAAATTTGTGAGGGTATAGTTTACGTACTACAAATCGTGCGCTAAATATAAAGTAATAAAGTTTCAAACAAGCACCCATCGTGAGTGTTAGGTGCACAATTCCAGTAGATTTTTATTAATTTGGACTAAGAAAACTGAAAGATTATGATCGAGATGAGGGATGAATTCTGCAATATTTATGATTGCGTCTACTATAGAATTGGGAAAATGAAGTTTCAGATGCTGCCACTCATATGTATGTCGCTTTATCTAACAACTTCACCTATCACTTTATCCAACAAATTTCTTAATTAAGCTGAAATTAAAATTAACACGACTTACTGTGTGCTCTCACCGACGCCTAATTGAAGCATTTCTGAAGGTGTGTATATACCAGCAATAGTGGTGAGCCATTCTGAGCGCACTAATAATGCTAGCTGTCGTTGAATGTCAATGGTTGTATCCTTAAGGAACAAACTAGCGACATAAACTTATCATGCATGTCTTGTTGACCGTATGGCAGATAGGTGAACGACTTCATCTTCTCACAGAATATACTGCTATCAAATTGTAATTGGATTGACGACAAGCACTGTTTTCTGCAATGCACCTAATATACACCATTTCGAATCTAGGCAAGTATTCTATCCTGGAGTCATGCTGGATCTGTGAACACGCTTGACGCACATTTATCGATGACGACTCATCAAGCACTTTACATAGGTTAACCGAAGTACTCTTGAGTGCGGCTGCTTACCCAAAGCTATATACATATCTTCAACTAGGATTCAGGAGCCAATCATTGTACAACACCGTTTTTATAGATACTGGCTATTGGAAATAAGCAAGCATGGGAAACCGTTTCTACCGCTCAAAAGGTGGTCCAGGTTGTATTGGCTGTGAAACATAACTTTTCTATACGAGCTAATTGGTTGAGGCACGTAAACAACGAATCCGAATCCGGTTCACAGACCTGAACCTTAGCGCTAATCGACTGGCATGTCTAGTCAGTCGCATACGACGCAGCGACTTACCCTAACATTAAAATCACCATTCACTGAACCAATAGCGGTTTGTCACTCTTGATGCTACGAAAGTTCCAGGCCGCCTACTATATTATCGACTCTCCGGCCTGGATTGACGCTGGAACAGTCAGAAATGCTTTTCTCTGTACAAAACAACTCATGAGCGGTTCAAGAACAATGTCGTGCTTTAAGGAGCACAAACGCGTTAAGGGTCATAACCGGTTTTGCGTGAAGAGCATGATTTTGCATGAAAAAGTTTTAAATCAACGATGGGTGCTGGAAATGATGAATCCAACCAAGAATCTCGCTTCGTGTAACCGATTTGTAGTTCGTAGTATTTAAAGTAGGCCCCTTTTTTTCAAGATTGAAATGAATAATGAAAAAGAATTTGTGGTTTTGGATCATCTCGCCGGCAGCAAATGCCGAGAAGACCATACAATGGTGAGAGTTCTTCTTAGTATGACAATATGGCGAGATAGTAGCCGATGCTGTTATATGTGATGTTGACCCTGACTAGAACAAACAGTGTGCAGCATGGATGTGCTCGCTTCGGGGTTTCCACCTGCACTAAAAACGAGTATCTGGAATCTTAACATGGCAACACTTTTAATTTTGGTTAGAAAGGGTTACTGCAGCATGTTGCAGAAAAATAATTTATCTTGATAGTTTTGATCGTGCAAATTGTAGGTGTTTCCCACCCCTCGCAATTCTTTTCATTCCGAAATTGTTTGGTGTGAAAACTCTGTTCGATATTTTGACAATAGTGCCGGAAGCGAAACAGTCAACGAATTACCGGGGGCAACCAAATATTTTACTTTCGTAAGTTAATCTGAAAAGACATTTGCAATTCATTGCACTGCATGATGTAAAGCTTGCCTTTGAAAAGGCTACTTAACATCAATACTACAAACCCAACATGGGGACATGTGCGACAGTCTTCCGATGTCTTAGACCGAATCTTGAGACATAAGTCCTGTGACAGCAGAGTTCTGGGTAGCCAGCTACAACTTAGACTTGATAAGGATTCCAGTTCATAACACGACAACAACGCATTGCTTTAAATGAATGTGGTAGAAACCTGGATCATATTGGTACGACTAAGCAACCAAATCATAAGCCAGAGATCCTGTTGCTTTATCTCTTATAAAATTGTCCATCAAGAAAAGCAAAGTAATGCATGTTTGATATTCTCACATACATATGGCAGTCGTACAACACATAATTGTGCTACTATGAGAAAGGCTGGTCGTCTTAATGCTCTTAATGGAATATTTCCGGGAGGATCGGCATGAAATTTGCTTAGGACTATTTAATATGTCCGTGATAATTGGCGCACGACATTTACGTTGCTCCGTAGTAGCTTTTGCGAGGAGGTACTGATAATGTATCGAACATTTTGGTTTCTGTACTCCAGAGTCAATGGTGACTGCCGGAGACTATGCGGAATTATTTGAGCAGGTAGAATTTGTTACACATGAGCCTAAAATTTAGCTGCGACAACCGACGATGGCAGCAAAAAGGTGGAGTTACGAAGTGATATGTTTTGGACCTTTAAACGAAGATGGCAAATCACAACAGCGGGATGTTAAGGACGAACTCATGGACGATCACCCGTCTTCAAAGTCGTGATCAGCTCGAGCACGATGGCGCCATGAAAAGAAATTGGTGATCTGATTTAAGACACCAACTTCTTCAAAGAGCATGACGTCCGTCGGGCAGTGTAAATCGTCACCACATTCAAATTATAGACGTTTCGAGCTTACCAATGAGGTGATGTGTTCGGGAGGCAATCAGTGTCACTGCTTGAACACCTGCAACGTCATCATGTCAATATTGTTCTCAAACAAGGTTGACACGACAAAAATCAAAAATTAAATTACACCAAGACTACATTTAGACTGTTTGAATATGTGGCTTATATGGGATACGTGAGGCTATTATGACGTGTAATACGTGACAGAACGGCCTAGCAAAGGCTGAACAGGACGTGCATTGTTGCCGTTGTCCGTGATCTCATATTCGACCAGATCTTGGTGAAGACGGCCATAGTCGATAGATGAAATTTTCATTGGGGATTTGAGTACCCACCAGTCGACAGTTTCGGCACACCCGGGAGTAGTCAGGCTACCAGGGTAGTTGTAAGCACCACCATTAGCAAATGCGGTGTTAATCAATTTCGCATACGGTTTCCTTCACAGCAGATTAAAATAAAATTTGTTAGCGCCTTTGAGACAATTTCTACATGGATGAGCTTGTGAATTGAACTTACAGTCGCACCATAACAGCATCTGTTTGTTGCGCTGAACTAACATTTTCAAGAGTATCCAGCAAGGGGCCGAGCCATGGGTCCGACTCTGCGTCAAGTTCAAGAAAGATACCCACCACTAGAAGAGCATCGCCATCAATGCTCTTGTGGACAAAGTGGATCTCACCGTGCTTTTGTTTGCCGTCTAGAGTATGCTCCGAGGGAGCGTGCAGATGGAATTGAGCCAACTTGTAGACGCTATTTTCTAATGAAACCTCACAGTTGCCTGAATTCAGATGCGATTAGCTTTTTCAAATATATTATTTCAAATATGATCACAATAGTTATTCTACCTCTGAAAACGTCACACTCAAGAGGCTCGTGGGGTGCCGACAAACTGAAGTGAGGGCAATTTCCGGTGAAGATGAGAGGAAACTCAGGGCCGGCTGTCAACACTTTCTCCGAAACGATGTCGATAGGTGATTGTCTTTTACCACCGCAAGATTCCCATACGTCAGCCCAACTGCTGCAATTCACCATTGAATTGCCGGGATGGTAGGACCATTGTGGCTCGTTGGACCCTTGTAATGCTCCAGCCGAAACACCTCTGAAATTGGTCAAGACGCACACAGCGACAGTAGCACTGACAGTAGCAAAAGGTCTCATTCTGATCTAACTTCAAAAAGAATCAAGAGTGGAAAGCGAGTAGTCAATAGAAAGCGAATCGAGAAATGACAAACCTTGACTTTTGTTGCGGTATCCGTAAGACGCAAATAGACGATGAGTCGGCATGAGATCGGCTCGAATCAATTGCGTCAGGATTTTGTTTATGTTAAACAAGCCCTAAGCCAATGTTTAACACATGGTATCACGATTCTACCCGCGTTGTAATGCTGTATGTAAAGGACCTTACTGTACAAATCAACAACTTACAAAGGTCAGGTCCTAATCATACCAAAAATATAGCACAATCGTATTGAATTTTACTATGCTCTCATGTTTATAACTCTTGTCGTTTCGGTCTCTTCTATAAGTAAGCATAGCAGACAATCTCAAATTGTTTCTGGACAACATAAGTATTTGATATTCATGCGACAAATCAAATCTTGCACATCAAGCATCACAACATGTCGTGAAAGGCGAGGCTGGTTGCCAGAAATATGAGTAAATTAGCATTTCAGACAGATTACATGTGACGGCAGAGAGACTTTGTAACTTTAAATTAGTTCTTCAGATATGGAGTATATGTGGAGACGGGGCGTATTAGATCTATGTTTCGAGTATGAATGTTACACGTGAGTGTAATGTCGATCCACGCATGCAGAAATTGATTCTGGACTAACATGTTCAAGGAATTGAGCGAAATTTGTGGGCTATCGTCATCTTTTGCAATCTGTCCTTTAGCTTATAAAGCTCAATTTGTATACACGTAATTTGTAACAAACACCAGATGCTTAACCATAACTCCACGATAGATATCACGCATACTTCTAGAAGGAAACAGACCACCAGCGTTAGAATTAATGCTATATTATATATTACTGCATAGCTGACCAAATATTCTCGTCCGTTCTGTATGATGGGATCACGTGCCAGATCATCGTGATACAGACACAGTTTCTCGACCACCTTGTGTACGAGCGTGAGACAAGTGTAGTAATGAGAAGCACCGATGTAGCACGAAGCTGTGGAAAGTGCGGATGAGTAGGTCTACTTTAGTCAGGTTAGCGTGAGCTTTGTTTTTTACAAAGCTTGTGGAAACATGCGGTTTGTGAGGCTGAGACCTCTGTTTAATCTTTTTGCTACATTACATGCCCTCGGTCACCAGGGCATGTTCGTGACCAACTGCGGCAACAAGCCTTCTCTAAATAGCATACCAAAGTGTGTTGCGATTCATATTACAGCACAACACAAATTATTATGGTGTACCAACACACTACTTTTTTACCCCTCGCACTTAAAGAGAAGCGTAAAAAGTCCAAGAAAGTAACAGCATAATGATAAGTATCATGATTAGTATATGGTTCGTAAAGTAAGGTGGGTGGGACTCATAGACCTCATACACTACTAGCATCTCGCTACCTATCCAAATGGGCATTTTTATTGTTGATGGTAAGCAGCCATTTTGCGCATATAGGATCTACAGAATTGTCCGAGGGAGATCATAAATACTCAAATATATTACTATGATGGTGTATAATAACACACAAAACACTGGGTAGATACAGATGAGTTGCTACAGGATTGCCGAGCTCCTTGCACAGAGAAAACTTCTACTTTAAGAGTACAGATCAAGATGTTGCGTTTGTGCGTCCTAACAGAAGCGCAATTGGGAGCCTGGGTTTCAAGTTAGTACGCCAAATGCTTCGTCGGATATCAGTCGCAATGCGATTCGCAAAATTTACTGGCGATCTATTAGCGAAAGGTAATCGGTTTACATATGCATTTTTGGTTCCGTAACACCTTAAGCAGTGTTTGATGTAAATCACTAATTAATTTCTATCCACTACAATGACTCTCGGCAAGCCATGTCAGCAGTGAGATGAGCCATTTTGTATACAAAAGCCATTACGCTGGTATGGCCGGATATGTCTTTTAGCAGTTTATATGCAGCGTCTATACTTATAGACTGTGTGGAAACGGCAGGCTGATCAAAAGCGCTCAAAATTGTGGGAAGCTTTGACGCTCAGCCATGCTTCAAACGCGCGCACATATGGGTTTGTCCACATATACATGGTATACCGCCAGTACGTATCGCTCACTGAACAATATATTTATTCTTCTTGGCCGGCCAGATCACGTGCCTGTATAGAATTATGTACTTGTTGTTCTTATCGTGGAGCACTACTCCACGCTGAGTCGGTACTATAACCGGCAAGTATTCACTAAAGCGCAAAGCGGTGCAAGTATTCAACGGGCGCTCCGAAGAAGCGACAATTGTGGTTTAGTTAACATTTCTTTCAAAACTTATCAGCGATGCAAAAACGTTTCGTCTAAATCGTGGCTACGTTAAGGTTTTTATGAGCCTGCATCGTCCACCTCCTGCTGTTAGGCTATCTGAAGCACAGAATTGACGCCGAGCGGAAGCTTCATCTTCTTTAAAAACACGCCTTTGCTTCCCATGAAAGAATGCAGCAATGTTGTCACACTTTCCCCTTAAAAATATGCATTGCCACATGACGTGCTATATGTTTACCAAAGGCTTGATGGCTTCTTGAAGGTAGCTGTCTTACTCCTCACACATCTTGCTGTGCCAGTGTTCACATGGAAAGATTATTTCTGACGAGCTCAGACTTTTCTCCTGTATCGACCGTACCGAATTATGGCCACAACATCTCGCAACAATCCGCCTAGTATCATCCTTAGCATTGTTAATGCTTCTGTCAGAGGAAGCAAGGGGAAACTTACAGCCGTGAGGGTAACCTCGGTCACTCTACTCAAAAGTTAAACATTTTTCTCGTCACTAATCCGTCGTGCTTTACAGCTCCGCACAATGGGCTCGTTATACGGTAGTGCCGACCAAGCGGTACCGTTAAACCGTGAGAAGGAGAAAATAGCCTCCCGGGTTCTGGTCGAGACACCTTACAATACCATTGATATCTTCAGATAGTTTCGAGGAGTTTTTTTCACCTTCGTGCTTCGCCAAAAAATGTTTTACTTCTTGGCAAAGGTGGAATCGTGAATCGCTAAAATGCTATTAAAAGAGAAGGGCTTGGTACTGCACGTCTTGGACATTCAGTCGACCAATAGAGCGTGACGTTCCAGCAAACCCATAGATAGGATTGAATTATTCTCAGACCCAGCACAACAAGCCAATATTCTGCACTGTCAAAAATCTCAAACTCCGCTTAAAGGTTCAAACTTACCTTCGCCCATTTACAAGTGATCCTGTCGGACACCGTGTCCGTATTTGACACCATAAATGCTTTCACGTACTATTTACTGTTTTCGACAGTCGCATGCCGTACATGAATGCATGACGGTCTTATGAATTTCCACCACCGCGCAAAGCCTGGGACGCGATAACAATAGCCAACAACCCTGAACTCTCTGCCTCATTTCTCATAGCAATATAGTCGCCTCATTAGCAGCTGAGTCCCATCGAGCGCAACCTCCGTTAGATCAGAATACGCATGACTGTCTACTGGGGCTTGACTTTTGTTCGTTGTCCGCCCTTCTGTGGGAGCATGAAACTTTGTACCCCCTCAGTCGAGTGCGAAAGGAGAACAAAAAGCGCGGATGTTGCGCAAGACCGTGAATAAAGTATTAGATGACAACCCATAGCTATATAGTAGTAATGAAATTATAATCGCCCTCTCATCCCAGCTGAGGTTAATCACTTCTGGCGCGTTCGGAAGTTTCCATTCAAACCATAGCATTACGCCCTCGTGGTAGGCTGTACACGGCAATGGATAGAAAGCGCACTGCTTTTCTCAGTAGGAGTTGGGTAAACTCTGAATGTCTCGGCTGGAGCCGTGCACGTTTTGAGCCTCTCCATAAATTGGTAGCCGATGCCGCCTTCTGGATAAAATTGGACGTCATTACACCGCTAAGAGTTCATATATCATGGACATCGTCGGCCTATTCTCATCCTCCTTGACGGTTGATTAAGACTTTTGTACGCCCTCGTTACGCTTTATTTAAAAGTGCGAGCACTTGCGACATCGGTCACCTTAAATTTCCGATGTGGAATATACCTCTGCGGACGATTTATTTATGTGTGCCCATATTCAAGCGCGACCTCCAAGCTTGGAGGTCGTAAACATTACGTCCTGTTGCTCTGTTCAAAGTATGCAAAATCACTGGCCAGATCATTAGCCCTTACCCAGATTTATATTCTTCGTTTCGGTAACGCTAAGTTTCAGTGGCGTCACAGTGGATACCATCTATTCACCCACAGGCGCTAACAAAGTAACCTTTCGAAGGCGCCTTGCCAGCACAATCTTGAAGCTGGAGAGATCAACCAACGATGTTGATTGCCTTGCCGCATTTCTTCGTATCCGCTATATCGACAACGATCTATACTTTCTAATGGCTCACGGTATGCCACACACATTGTCAAGACGAGCGCTCAATGCGTCCAGCCTTTTGGCCGCCACTTTCTGATTTTATCGGGACCAGCGATAGTCATAAGCTGATTAATATGTTATTTTTGTCTCGGGGTCAGGGACTCATACGCCATGTTCGATCCCCGCAAACAGAAAAACACTCTCACTTATCTGCAGTGAGATTGACTACGCAAGCCTCGAAGTGCGATGGGTAGAGAAACCCTCGAAAGTAAGGATCATCATAAACAATCACACACGGTTTGGGCTCGTGAGCTCCTACCTTTATTGTAAGAGAAGGCTATTCACAATAGTCTCTCAAATACAACGTATACTTTTGTTCGACAAGGAAGCGATTCCTGACGTCAAGGGAAAAGAACAGTCCAAACTTATAGGGAAAAAGAAAGACTTAAGGCCTTGAAGGCAACTTTTTAACTGAATTGATAAGGGGTAAGTGGTTCCTGAAGCTACATGCAATACATTCGACACACTTCAGCTTTCGTGGAAAGTATCCAATAGAAGTGACTGTCTTACATCACCCACTTCATAAAGAGATACGCTGGTCTCATCAAAAACTCCCAAGTAGAAACCAGGATTCTGTATCACACAGGATGTTTATGACTTCATATAAATGTCCTGTATCCACGTGGGAACGCCATACCTTATTCACTTTTTTGATTTTTACAATGCATATAGAAGTAAATAGATATACCTTCATGAAATGGCTAAGTGTAGCCTATTAAAAATACTTTGAGAGGAAGCGAGAGAGAAAGCGGGAGGCTTCACCAATACTAGGTGGTCGGTTGCTCTGTTATTGCAAGAGCACATTAGGAATGAAAGCTTCTACACTAATTATAAATGTGTACGTTTTTCAGCTTCTGATGATACCTTTTCTGATCTGCGGTCAGCAACCGCTTTATCTCAAACCCTGTTATCTATTGCTCCGTAATTTATACAAGTACGAATATTTGGGTACCTATGAATCTTTAAAGTTACATCAAAATGCAACGTAAATTTGTACTACTACCGGATTGTTTACGTTCAGTTGTAAATATAAGCACACAAGATTTTAGCTGTAACGGGGTTATACGTACCCTGGTAACAGAGGTGTGTCTCACACGAGATGGGCTTGGTGTGACTGCACCCAAATCAGAATACGGTACGTGGTTGGGTAGCCAGTAGTTATGCAAGTATTTAGATTTTACTATATATATTTAGAAAAATCTATACACTTAAAATTAGGCGGCTTTGCCGCAGTAACACAAATAAATACAGTTTACATTATAAACAGAAGAGTTAATTAGCCTTGGGTTAAGGTTCTAACCACTCTTGGAGGTAGCGGATTGCGATCCGCTACACTCGTACTGGATCCTGTGAAAATGTAAGGTCGGTGATCTAAATTATGCTTCCTCTAAGCGCAAAGCTACGGCAGCCCTGCTGCATAGTTACTATTGCGTTACAATGGTGCGGCGGAGAACAGAATCTGTACGCACATGGACTTCCAGCAACACGCAACGCAGTATATAAAGTTGAATCTCATTTTGCCGCGAAATACACTAAGTCCTTGTTAATCAAACTTGCACTTGAGTATGTCATGCTTAAAATATAACAGTTACTTAATTATCTTGTCACACCATGAGGCCCTCGATCCCACCCATGTACACACCAACACCCAGTGCTCTTTTGACACAGCAAACACCATTTTTCGTTGGTTGTACTTGTTGTCATCTCAAAAACTGAGTTTAAAAAATTGTTCTCAGTGATTTTCACCTCTATGTCCCCGGGACCAAAATTTTTTTTACCACTCGTCTATTTTTTCCTGACTCGATTGTGCAATGCACACAAAGATATAAATGGTATGAAGCTCCGATATTTAGAAATGTATAATGGCGGAACACCTTCTAAAAGCATTGGCGATACACAAATTGCTTCCATCACGAGAACACTTACTTTAATCGTCGGGCCCTTTCAACCCAGTGTCAGCGAAAAAAACTTTTTCTGAGTGAGCAAATTTTGAATGATTACGACATTGGTCACGCCTTGAGCGAAGGATCAGCGCATCACTCTTGTGGTCTTGATGGGACAGTAGATCGCGCACGCGAATGGGCCAAAACGTGCGGTATATCTGTAGTCTGTAGTTGAGGGACTCATAAATGGAAGCATACAAAGCGACATACTTCGAAGACGCTCGCATCGCTTAAAATGGCGCGTCGTATAAGGGGTTATATTGTTATCAGCCTGTCCATGGCCGCGAAATTACGGAGTATGTCGAAGTGTCAAGAACTCTCAATACAATGATGAAACCATATCTTTTTCCGGAGGCACTATCGGCTTTATCTTCATGGAGAGCTTTGTGACCGAAGTCAGTCACAGCAGGATATTCTGCGCCGGCTCACCAAACGCTTACGGCGAAGCGGAGGGCATTGAACTGTTTGGTTTGTGCCTCAAGAACCGGTCGAAAGACTGAAAGATGTGCGCTTAAAGCTCTAGATTTCTAGCAGCAAAGGCGATAGAGCTCAGCCAATCTAAAAGAAAGAGAGCGATACTCTAGCAGCCGAGCAGCATCGTACTACTCTCAAATGCCACATTTGAGAAAGGATCGATTATCTGCAGCTTCCATGATTTATTTTCTTTTAGCTGAGAGGTACGAAGGGCATACAGCAATTTCGGTGGGCTCAGTGCGGCTTACCGGGATTTTCTTGGAACACTTGGAACTCTTGGAGGTCGACGTTGATGGGACCCTGCCCTTCAAAAAACAGACTATCTTTAATTATGTGGGGTTGGCGGTTCACGACATGGGCTTTATGAAGAAGTGCAAAGTTTTGTTAAAATTTGTAGCAAGGTACAATTAAGTAAAATTGCGACTGTCGAGAGAAGATGATAGTACGAGGAGGCACTGAAAAGGCCGAAACTGAAACAGCATCCGTTCGTATCGCAATGGGGACACTAGAATAATTGCACTCCTTAAAAACATATAGTTCCATTAAAAACAGGATCGGCCATGGGCTCGCGTTCGAAATTGAATCCCATTCTAGTGATGATGTGTTTAGGGTTTAGAGGCCGATCTTCACGACTCAGCGCACTTCTTGTCAGCAACTGTGGACTGATCTTGTTAGCGACAGTTTAACGCTTCATTAGTAGCTGTATCTTATTTGTCATGACGCGAGGCTGTTAGCGTCAAGAATAAAGTTTCCAAATTGACGTCCATGTCGTGTATAGTAAATCGCCAAGTACAGTGCACGACTCTTACGTAGGACGCCTGCCCTCCTGAAGATCTTTATACAGCTTAAAGTGATGTGCCTTCTTTGATGGTAGATAATAGTATATTATCGTTTGGACTTTTCCGTATGAATTGATTAACAATCGTGAATTTGCTCGTCCGACATCTGCTGGACCAAATTTAGGCGGGAAGCCTGGCGGGTGTTGGTTCTACGGGTCAAATCGCACTAGCGAGGCAAAGCCGGAATGATATAATTGCACTTTGTTTGATCAATAGACGCACGCACATGCGTAAAGGGTATCAGTCGCAGTGCAGCGCACAATATCTTATCCAATAATAATAGTAGCAAAAAAACGAAACTAAAATTATTGTGTTGATAGCTAGTACCTATAATAAATCACGACTCATTCGAGACCGCGAAAGTCGGAGTGTCTCCTGCGCTTGCAAACAAGCAAGTTCAACTCGTTTAGCCATCGTCAGCTCATGAGTACCTAGCTTAGTACCGTTGAAAGCTCCGCATCGGGTTATAGTGAAACGTTCGGCCTTAAAGACGGACATATACTTTGCAACTCGTTTAGTGGTGATGAAGGCTCAATCTTGTAAATTTCCTCATAGATTGGGAGAACTATATTGGTAAGCCTCTGAATGAGGGCACAAACACCGAATTCGAGCGCTTTGTGTTCATGTGACCGTCCCTATTGCTTAATTATCGGCTGCCTCACCGAGCCTAGCCTGAAGTTCGTAGACCACGAGGACAGCGCCTTTTCTGGCAGCTCATTGAGCCGTGTGGCCACATGAGAAAGAGGATCAGATGCGCAAAAGAGTATGCGTTGTTGAGTGCACTGCATCACTCACTCTATGCTTCTAGCTGTATTTGTAACTGCTCAACAGTGGTAGGACACGATGCAGTACCAACCATGTTGATACGCTCCGGGTCGTGGCTCACACCAGAACTAGTATCTATGATACCACACCATTTGTCCTCCAATTATGAAGCTAGACTTTGACTCACTGAACCTAAACAAAAAACCGACAGCTCGTAAGATCATTTCAGCTCAACATTCGTAGCTGGTCAAACCATGTTCCAATACAATTTATATATGCATACGTCAAGCGCTGCATGTAATTACAAAGCTGCATCGTAGTTTTTGAGGATGTGTATAGATTGTTGGTAGGTCGTACAAGACTGTTCTCCGATTGCGCCGGATCTTTAGGAGTTACTATCCTTTACACCGCTAGTAACGTGTTATGCAAATTTACTGTATTACCTCGATTGCACCGCCCACCGTAATTCACGAGTTTGGGTGTTCTAACATCACGCTATCAGTTTCCTGATACACCCTTTGGCCTTTCAATAACTCGCTTACTTATGCAACACCTCGTGCTCTACTATTTATAGAGAGGAATGCTCAGCGCTTCTTCCAGCAGTTATATTTCGCCTTCTAGTTGCAAATACTCGCGGTTTCACAGGATCTAATCTTGTCGTTGCTACTGGTGTCCGTTCTCTTGTCTTGAAGGTGTTCTGTACTATATTGCGCTCCGGAGGAAAAATACGCGCTAACTCACAAGCATTAAGGCTTTACAAGCCAGCGTCAGTCACACAAATAGTTGACCAGAGCTCCGACTCATCAGTGAGATTGCGGTAGTACCCTACACCAACTGAAGTCTACAAAGCCGCAGTACGAGTCAAAAGGCTTAACGAGTACACCGGTACACTTACCAGCTTCTAGTACCCACGGTACATTCCTTATCAAACATATGAACTTTTCCACCTGCTGCTACTCTCATGCAGGAAATATTCTTGAACGGTGATGACCTGTGATGATGAATAGCGCGTGCAGAGTGACTTTCTCGCGATTGTTCATCTTGCGTAGAAATCGCAAAGAGTTTTAGGAATTTGTTTCTTGAAACTACTTATAATCGAAAACACGACGTGGTGAATTTGGCAAGAGTCGATGTGACTCCGTGCTTCAGAATGAACAAGTTGAGAGCTTTGAGCAAGGTATAGCTTGTTGGTGACGAGCTGGACTTTACATGAACTTCAAAGAGGGGTGCTAATATTTCGGTCGTTCAAAGTGGGAACAGTGCTCCTACCTTGTAGAGAGGGGTAAAAACCGTTTTGGAGGACGTCTAGTCATATGTCTTAGGTGAAAACGGGAATATTTTGTCGGGGCTCAGAAAGTTGCTGCAAAAAGGTGCCTTACGATGAGCGCGCCTGTTCTGGGGCTCGCTGAGGAGTCGAATCATGATAACAGAAGCAGACATGATACAATAGAAAATTTATGCGTTAGACTTCTAGCGGAGTGTTTTTTTGTAGGATTTTGACTTTCGCGCGGTATCTTGTAACAGTGAACACAGTGAGAGACGCATACGAACCAGGAGGATAAAATGTTTAAGCATCGTATACCAATTTCTTAAATTATTATTTCAGCTAATGTATAAAGTACCTGTAATCATTATTTATTTGTAAGGGGTCGCAAACCTGAATATAGACACTAGCATCGTTGAGATTTGGTAACTTGAATCATTTAGGTGTCAGTCTCAATCGCTTAATCTAAACATAAGTAACCTTGGGTTAGACGGGCTACCTAGATACTAAGACTTTCGGGTTTGCTCCCAGTAAAACAGCCTCTGGGCGTTGTAAACGCGAGTAGTAAATAAAGCGCGCGGAGTTCCGTTACACAATATTATGTAGAACATGTACTCCGTTACAAAATGTACCTGTTATGTTATATAATTCATAGCGCGAGCTAATAAATCTATCCTCCACATATGTACTGAGCGCACGTCGCATGGCACTACACCTTAGTACACATGTACTTTGGTCTATATCCGGGAGTTGTTATTTACTTTTCAGAATATTGCATGCATTATGAAAGTCTCACGATCGCCCAGTGCACCTTACCACTGCACTTTGTAAGTCGCAGCTCACCAAATGGTTTAACAAACCACTTTTAAAGATATGATCTCTACAAAACTGACACATAGCAAGACTAGTGGTCGACGGGTTTTCTGACTGCCGGTGTCCAAACAACAATTTAACCCTCATCAAGAATTGAACCGCCAGGTTTCTAAGACGAGGCTTTCCGCCTCAACACTGCATGTCTTGCACGTCCCAATATTATTATGGTATGTCGCTGCAAAACTCACGACAGTTGTGGGAGCTCAACCTAGCTCCGCGAATCACTCTTGCCAATCCGTAACGGCAAGAGTTGCAGCGGCTTTCAATGAAGTCGTTTCGGACTAAATTACTTCGTCATTATCCGTTCGATTGATCTTAAGTCACCACCCACACCTCAGCAGGGCCATTGAAAATGAACCAAAGTCCCTCTATACCGCAGCTCTTACGATCTTCATATTATTTATCCCCAAAACCACAGTTATGCAATGTGAATTTCATACAATCAAATTTCGCAGAATTCAAATGTAAAAGGTCAAAGTCCGCAAATAGTACATTATCTACCTTTACCCCTGTGTTTATATAAAGAAGTCACAACATACGCTTCCGCACAATCTCTCTGATAGAATACTGTACAATTATTCGAAACGCACGAAAATATTGTGAAGTTTGGTGAAACGAATACTATAGCTATAGTGTAAATGTGTTTTGTTCTAAATATATGAGAGCAAACTAGTTGATTAGTGACTTCATTTCGCTCTGGTGTGGTGCATAGGAACCCAATCTCTGTGCGCTGTGTATGCGAAAACATCGGCGAATATTTAGGTCAATTCTGCGATATCCAACGACATCGATTTGACCTCAATTTTGCTATCGAGTACTTTCGCTTTCAGCTGATGCTCAATCAAATTGACTTCATTCGCCGTGTCTTGCATGTTTCCTGGCGCAGCAGAAACAGTTGCTATCTTTTAGCATTATTAGATAATCACAGATCATTGCGGGATTTTATTCTAGACCATTAAAGACCGTTAATCACATCCTTCTGGGATAATTTGTCACACTCTTCTCTGTGTATGATGTCATACATTGCTTCGAGGTATGCAGCCAAGATCGCGAACGATTACTGATGTCTTTGCGATAGATTAGTCTGACTCGGTTTAGTTTTTGACTTGTGGAGTTTTAAATACTTTACGAATTTATACTACAAACTGTGACGCCAAAAATGTGTACTTCGTGAATTTGTCCAGAAAATCACTCTGCTGTCCCACAAACGCACAAACGAGGGCAGTTCATATCCACAGCAATACTAAGATTGCCACCTTTCATAACGTCAATCCCTAAGGAGCTAAGGAAGCCACCTCCTTGATGAGATGCGAAATCGTTGCGCATGTCGACCGCTAGATCGTGACGTTGCTGACGGGTAAATTGATAGTCATAACCGCGAATCTCACGGTAACGACTGAAGTGAGTACGTAGTATACAAAGGGACAGCAGCAGTAGTAAGCTAATCTTCAACAAAATTCAATACAGTGAGTGCTGGAGAGTAATCGACCAGAAAGCATAATCGTTTTCAAGTAAACGATGCAATGTCGGTGGATAATTTGAATATTGCAGATTGTTGGAGAACATTCGCTGAATTGCGATTGAATTATGTGTTTATACACAAAATAAACTTTGAGGAAAATCGCACTAGTAGTTTCCCGCTGATTCTAAGATGATTATAAAACATTGTTGGTTTACGATAGAAACTTTAACTCATTCTAATCACATTTTGCGTCAGCGTTATCTGATAAAAGAAATATTAGTGTATTCTATGCATATAAAATCCATAGAAAATTGTCTTATTGTAGCACGATTTGCGAAACTACCGAGAGATTAAAAATATGGATATTGTTGACACTTTGCATTTAAAACATTGAAAATGATAACTAATTGTATTTGCTGCATTCTATGTATGAACGCATTTGAATGGGTGCTTAACAAAGATCACTGTAACAATATACACCATGATGTCAATATTACATCAAACAATTAGTTGTAGCGTGTAACAGTACGGCCATTCAAAGGCTGGGCGGGTCGCGCATTGTTGCCGTTGTCCGTGATCTCGTACTCGACAAGGTCTTGATGGAGGCGGCCGAAGTCGATGGACGAAATTTTTACCGCTTTTTCCACCACCCACCAGTCGACAGTCTCATTGCAACTAGGGGTTGTAAGACTACCTGGGTAATTGTAGACGCTGCTGTTCTGACTGGCATCGACGATAAGTTTTGAGTACGATTCACTGCGCAAACAGCATTTCAGTCGTCAGTTACCTCAATATTTTCGATACAATTTAATGCACTCTTAAACTTACAGCTCCACCGTAAGTGCATCCGTTTGACTAGCCGAGCTGACGGTTTCGAGGGCGTCAAGAAGGGGTGCAAGCCAGGGATCTGACTTAGCACTGATTTCTAGTAATATGCCTACGACCAGAAGATCGCCATCTTCGGACGCGTGCACGAAATGGATCGAAGCATCTAAAGCTTTACCATTGATGGTGTGCTCTGACGGAGCGTGCAAGTGAAATTGAAGCATGTTGTAAGTGGCATCTTTAACAGATACAGTGCAATCACCTATACATTACAATATTTGTCAGCATAAAAAATTGTCGATCAGAATATTGACATAATTCACCTCCAACAACGTCAACCTCAAGCGGTTCATGGGGTTCAGCGAGGTTGTACGTAGAGCAACTCCCACCAAACTTGAGAGGAACTGCCTCGCCCTTGCCACACATGCCAGATATGGCAATATCGATTGGTGACTGACGAACACCACCGCAAGAATCCCACTCACTCGCCCAGTTTGCGGAGTCAATCATGTTGGCATCCCTGGTATGGTAGCCCCACGTGGGTCCAGCTGAAACATCAGCGGAGATCGTTTGAGCGCAGGCAGCAAGTGTAGCGGCAACAGTCACAAAAATTTTCATCGTGCTTGTGTGGTAAATTGATCGAAGGCTTTTCGGAAGAGATACTATGCCAGAGCAAATTTTGGAATGAAGAATTTGTCCAGAGTGATAGCAGCATGGAGGGTGGATACTACCATAGGTTAAATCGTGGTCATACACTCGATAGATATTGATGAAGCAACATGTAAAAGCTTTTGCAATCGCACGTTGCATACTTTAATAAGTGGATTTGTATTGGATCATATGGAAACCAATCTTTAAAAAAATCCCTTTCATACATGTGTTAAGCGTTACTGGAGCGATTGTGCTTCGTAAGTATCATACATATTCTGGAAACTAGTGAGTATAAAAGAACGAATCCATCTTCGATATTGTCGAGACAATAAATCATCAGCCAAATTTATCGAATGCCGACTATCCATGATATCCCACTCTTTCAAAAGTAGAATGAAATCGATATACGCTAACGCAAACTTTCTCATTCTTGAATGAAAAAAGACACTTTACTTCGAATGGGTCAGTCTTTTCGATAAACACTCATAAAATATGAGTCAAAGCAGAATGCTCAATATATTGTAATAAAGATAATATGTCAGTGATCTACAAACTTTGGTTATAAAACTTAATTATTGTTCGATTCAACGAGAATCGTAATCTTCAAGTTTACCATCTGTGACGATTTTCCTGTGTGATCCCTGTCTGTCTGATCAGTTTTTTGCACTTGTAGAAATCGGTGCAAAGCATCAGTTTCGCACTTAAGAAGACGGTCCTCTTAAACTCAGTGAGTAGAAAACATTACTTTCCATGTGTTATGCTCGAAGGGATGCGGTATATATTTTGCTACGTTGTCTCTACCACTCTTTGAAATGGTGTAGTTACAGACTTTGAATTCGAAATGTATTGCACATAGTACATATGACAGGCTGAAATATATTTTGTCGATGGACTAAAATAAACAACATTTTTTATGTCCTATATCCGTCGCTTTGTCAATCGTGGAAGCTACAGAATATCCACCCACCTAATCCAGTTGCAGCTTATACCCATAGATGTTCTAATAATTGGCACCATACAAAATTAAAATATTAAAATTGAAGATCATAAGGTAGTAAGTCATAAAAGACTCACATTCGAATATGTTCGTACGAGGGCTAAACGATGATACTAATACAGATGTGCGCGAGTGCCTTGAAAGCAACTGTTTGGTTTCTAGTGTACAAACAAGCACGAAGTATCACAGTGTTCAGATGGTTTCCATCCTTCTCTGCATCATAACAAAAATTATAACAAAAATTTACCTGCATTCTCCGCTCATCGATACTTCGCTCAGCGACACTTAGATTGTATGCACAGGAGAGGAGGGAAAGTTGTAAAATAAAGGAGTACATATAAGGAACTGACATTCCATACTTGAACGGCATAGCGATTTCGCGACACAGTGCCTCTGCTTTTATCAATGTTTTGTCCATTCGTTTTGCTGTATTATTAGCGCTTAATCGCTGCATTTTTTTTGAGAAAACATGCCGTCAGGTCATACGTTAAGTGAAAATTTTGATTAATGTTGTGATCATGAAAGTAACCGATCAGTTTAAAGAGCACCATCGAGAAAATCACTCGTCCAAACCAAACAAACAATATGCATTCTCAAAGTGAAATATGCATCGTGCTTGACGTACAACAAGGAGCAACCAGCTTTGTCATTCGCAATATGCGCCAGATAATTTATTCTATCGTGCTGTGTAGGACAAGAAAACTAGCACATCAGAATGCGTACAGTTGCCAGTAATTTACGAAAGTCTTAAGCTCAAAGTGCAATATTTATGTCAATTGTAACTTTTGTTAATTGGTGACGTTGAAAGGTCTATCAAACTCTACGCTCTCGCATCATCTTAATATTATAAGTAATCAGCCGTTTTTCAAGTCTGACAGTGTAAAATGTGTGCGTGTCGTCCAGTCTTAATTGCATGCAACTAAGCTGCGTAAACGTGCTTTACTACGTGCAGTGCGTCGAAATGAAGCCTTGAATGGTAGAGCTCCGAAAGTATGTCCACTTTCTGAGCTTGGATAGCGCACAAATTTTTGTTAGCAATTCTGATTCAAGCACACTGCTAGACAACTCCACCTTCTGAATTAGCACAGAAAGAATGCACCGATCATTCATACCACGTAATAATTACTTTTGGAGTTTAAATTTATGACTGTAGGCGTCATTAACCTTCTTGGAATGATTTGTATCACGACAATAGCGATCAAGTGATACATGATTCTAGACAACACGCCTATTGTGAATGCACGAGGGCTAACGGTGACAGCCGAAAAGACTTTCACTACGGCAAGAAACATATTTAGATATACGAAATAAATAAACAAGCGCTTACGCCTAGATTTAAGAGTTGTGGTCAGATAACAAAAGGGTCAGCCCCAAAGGATTCCACCGGTGTTGAGATGATGCCGCTTAATACTGTTGAAGAAGATGAAACAGCTATATGTCTATTTGATTGCAAAATAATAACATTTGACGAACTATTTGTAGAATGGAGACCCGGTTGATCTTCTTAGCAGTCTGGCGTCGGAATTGTTATTTGTTGAAGTTTATGTGGAGGACATCACATTGATTAAAATGCCCAAAGACTGCACAGTGAGGGCTAAATAAAGGCTGCCTAAATGATAATAATAAAATACTAAAAGTTGACGGGACAACGTTCGAAAAGGTGGCAGTCCACGCAATGACAGCAGCTTTGAAGGCGAGTGTTATGATTGTGACCAGGTTGATCACGTGAAGCGAAAATGCACGGCTGAAAAATGAGTCAGGAGCGATGACGCGGTTATTGCAATTAGCGGTAATTATTTATACGTAGAGTCCCCAAATGAGTACGGCTTGCACCAAGACCTTCCACCCCCACCCTTCCTTGTTTGAGGAAGTGGTCGGTGTCGCATTCAGTGCAGAATAGAATTCCAAACCTTCAGTGGGGTCTGGTACTGCATGTAGATACTCCATGACTGCGCTATTGAAAATGAACATAAACCATGCTGATGTAGTCGAGAGTGACTTTTTAGTTGCTGAGCAGCTCTGCGGTACTCGTAGATGTTTAATCTGTGAGATAGCATTTTAACGCCTTCCATGCCTCCTTTACACTTGGTTTAGAAGTGTCCTCAGACCAAGCGGTGCAATAGTGGGCTTGTAGTATAAACATAAGATCTGACTCATATCAGTCTTGGATTCACATAGCGATGTTCTTATTGTGTTGTATTAGCCATCAGCAGAAGGATCTATCTCTGTCGGCACTGTACGACGAGCACAGAGTGGCCTAGAATCTTTATCCTCCTGGTAGGGTATAACAGGACTGACACTAGTGCCCGATGTAGTGAAAGTTATACAGATCCCATGGGACTTCGAGATTTGAGTTCTCAAGATTGTCCAGGCATCGATGCCACTTACGAATAAACAAATATTTGCTCTATATCTCCCTCGGATAAAAGACGTATCAGCGCATTTTCCATTAATGTGTGAAGACCGACCGTGCGATAACTTTGTCCTTTTGTCAGCAACTGTAATAGCTGTGCCATCGATACGTATAGATAAGTAAGCCTCAGCAAGTAGGAGTGAAGGGTTTTCTCTCAGTGTCTCCGTCGTGTTTTGTACTGTACAGATTCGGGCATTAGTCGACGATCTTGGCAGATATACATTTCGCTCGCAAAATATCAGTATGAGTGACTTGGCGTGTTATCCACACCCAGTGCGCAAAGTGGGTACGATAATAATCGGTCATCTCCAAGGACTCAACGTTCGTCCTATTATGAAGTACTGACTTCCATAATGCGAGTCGGAAGCGTCAGGCAATTCAAATCGTGGCCGTGATTATAGCAAGGCTCGGGATATTTTCGAGCTTTTGAAAAGCAAGTTCGGCTCATAAAGCCAGGTGCAGCTTGTTAATGACGAACTAGAGATTGTCTTGCTTTTACAGCGGGGTGCTGCAACATTTATCGCCGGCCAAGACTGGCACAGTGCTTGATACAAGAAAGGCTGGGAAGCTGAGTGTTCCTCCTCCTTCAAGGACGGTTACGATATGTGGCGAAGGTGTTTAGTGAGGACCAGAGCATTATACGTCAGCTCGTATTGGTGAATAAAAATACCTTGGCATCCTCGCCGGGAATTGTGTTAGTAGCTAAGACTGCGCCTTCTATGGAGTCTCGTTGAGCCATTTGATTGAGTACCGGGAGGAAACTAGCCGTATGAGTATGCTCAGGAGAATAAACATAGTAAAGTGCAGAGTGTGTAGTGGAAGCTCAGGTGCATTTGTTTCTCAAAGAGCAATCACTTTTGCGCAGACCTTTACGTTCCCTGTCATGATTCAAATGTGGAAAATGTGCTACGGGCTAAATACTGCAGTCTTGTACTTTCATCGAACACGTTTAATACAATTTATCAAATACGATGCTGTACAATTGTTCAAATTCTATTATCTGGCTGTTATTGCTTATGTCGTTTTAGTAGTCTTCGTCCCTCTTTCATGTGATTTGGACATTCCGTCTTCGATTCAGAAAGATGTGTCTGCTGAAGAAGCAAACAACCAGTGAACGATGGGTAGATAGTACGCTTGGACCTTGCCTTCATATTTTCTCTCTGCTAGCGGCAGTATATTGGAACCATCCTAGTATAGCTCTGAAATGAAGATGTTGTTGCTACTGTACCACTTTGCAAACAAGTTCTCCGAACGTACGGGTGGGAGCACGCACAACGCTGTACTTCGTAATCATCGGCAAGTCCTAGGCAAAATCGGGAAATGTCAACGTACGAGATTTTAGAAACGCGTCGCTACGAATGACAGATACTGGTTGATTATGGCAGTCGGGTGTAGAACATCTGAGCCATGCCGTTTACAGATATAATGCACGGGCTTGCAATTGCTCTCTCGGCGAAACCACCTTAGAAAAGAAGGCAGCACCCGATCGCGTCATAAATGACCTTTTTGGATAAAATTATAGAGGCCCATTTGACAATTTAAAGTGGGTCGAGCTACACAAAACGTATTATGGCCTTCACTACCGATCTTGGGTCATCGCCTTGATTGAGATCTCTGGTGTGGGTGCCACCAGCACCTAGTACAGCACTTAGTGGTATGATTTCAAATATAGTATGCTGGTGAAGGAAACTATGAAGCAAATGCTTTACCCGGCTAGGTTTCGTACGGCATATAGTTTTCGAACTTGTCCTTGATTATTATGAGCCAAAGATAAATTTGGCTACGGCCATACGCAATTTAGATAATTCAGCTATGGTGAAAACTCAATTTTGCGTGGCTGTTGCGCGTCTACGTGGCTGATTTGATCTTCGTCCTTCTCGGTGACTAGTCACGTGCTGACATGCGAAGTAAATCAGCCAAACGAGAGTGTACTACTTCCCCAACATAACTCAAAGCAGCTAAACTGGTATCCATACCATTTCTGATCGACGAGTATCAATACGCTCCTTCACTGTAGATTAATTATAACAACGGTTTACTAGTACGTTTGTCGCCTGTAGATGGAGACTTATATGCACGACTCTATTTGGCTCCAACCAAATCCTCTGCGTATTATCTTGTTTCACAGGCTATATTTCAAAGCAAATACGCTAAAGATGCCACGCCACTCTATACTGCTTCGTTGTCGTACAGCATTATCAAAGCTCGTGGTGTAAATTAAACTAGCATCGTGTACTAGTCACAATAGAGGAGAATGTGCTTATCTCCTTCAAATCTCATTTGCGTTTTTTTCGATATTTTCACTGAGATGACATCTGAACACGAAAGATGGAGGATATCGACTATTGTGGTTGAGCCACTTCGGCACTACGCTCAATGCTTGTCATTTGTCAGATTTCCTGACCATTGGCTAAATTTTTAACAGTTATTGTGTTGCCATGGACTTACATAACTCTATGTTGACCCAAGTATGATAACATTGTGTTCAGTTGTACGATTTGCACAGCTTTGCTCACACGCTTGAAACACCTACGACGCTTCTGTAGCAACCAGTTCACACAATTTTCGGAGTGGGTGCGATCACTGTTATTCTCTCTGCGTGAGTGCAATCTGTTGTGACATGAAACCGTTATAGTGATTAATCTGCATGAAACGTCATTTGCTGCCCATCAAAATTATAAGAAATCCTCAGAAAACTTTCTTCCCACTCCTACGTCTTGTGGCGGTCTCATTCAAACGTATCAAGAGAAGAATACTCCAGTCCTGATTCAGCGGCAATCTTTCTTCTTAGAACAACCCCTTGTTTGCAAATATCGTCACTGCTACAAAACAGTAGTGTACATTCTGTCAACGCGTAATATTTTTATTTCAGCCTCGAGCATGGTAACGCTTCGTGTTCATTAATATCTGCTTGGTGCAAGCATGCTTATGGCAAAGGCTGACGTGTTACAATTTCGATTCAGATTTAGTAGAACACAAAATTTATCTATTTTCCAAAGCTTTGATGGCCGTTTCTTCTGTCGTGCCCAAAACCATTTAAAATATACTTCAACTTGATTGGAGATTTGTCATGCCACGTCGATGCAATTTGCAGCACGGCTCACTGCCGCTTCTATCCTTTGTCCTATGTCCACGAAAACATCGGGCAAAGCCCAGAAGACAAGGTCGTATTCGTGCAGGAAGCGGATGCAGATCCTGGACAGAGGCTATCACGGCTTTGCACCTCCACCGAAAGGACTGCTGTGTTGAGCTTATGACACGCCAAAACTTCATCACGTGTAAAGTACGTAGCAGCAAGATTTCGAGATTTCTAGTCTGTAAAGGTTTGAGATACTCCAACCATACCAAATCTAGCATGTTATCTTATCTTCATTGTATGCGTAAAACGGTAGATAACTATCTACGTTGTTAAGTACTCTTTTATCACTTGAAGGTTCAGCATAAGCCCCGTCACGTTTTGCCAGTGTTCCCGCCGCCAGACGCACGGATATAGCTTTCTTTTTGGCATATTATTACCCCCGTGTACTGGCTCACATCTTGAAGCAGTTGCGAAACTGCACGATGCTCTTGAGTTAAATGAAGCAGGTCAGAACTTCACGACACTAGGATATTGTTATCGACAAATAAGAACCCTCCCTGTGAATTCCATCTCACGTTAAGAAAATTAACTATTTTTGGACACCGCCTACTGGGACTCGACGTATCTGTGAGGCGATCGTTGACCAACTTGCATTGGACTTAGACGTGTCATAATCTACTGACAGAATAGGAAGCTTGCGGAGGTTTAATGAAAGAAACTACCACATATAAAATTCTGTGGGCACCTCTCTGTTTTATGAGTATGACTGAAGTCTGACTACTCTGACGCGCTTGTTACATTTTCCGCCCCGCACTCTGTTCAATCGTCGGGACACGGAAGTTGTGCTCTGCAATTAGGACTTCCGCTATTTCACCAGAAAAGTAAATAGACGTGGATGGTTCCGATGCCAGCCGTAACCGTTCATAGACCCTCCATTAATATAATTATCGTAAGTCCTGAAAGAGATTACAGGCTATTGCGCAAATATATTTCCTAGCTGTTGAAATTAATCTTTCAGCTCGCAACCCTTGACGAGAGGACAAAACTTTTGAAGGCACTCGATACTCATGCATCCGCGAATCTGTCTATTCAGATCGCCTCACGTTTGCAATAACTTGAACTGAAATATTACACGTAATAGCAAACACGACACGCACAAAGTCTATTTCGCAGAATGTTCCCAGACCAGACATGTGCGGAAGTGAGCGACGATACAATGATCAAAGGCTCATAACATTGTTGAAGTTGTAAATCGGATGACGTGCAATTCGAGACGTCGGTCGAGACAAAATTCATATTCAAATATTGTTAAGTGTCTTCAATTCAATTTTTGATGCTCTTATCGGGCAAAAATTGACGCAGTTCCTAGCGTAGAGCGTGGATGAAACGTATCGATTATGCACAAGTGTGAACTTCAAGCCTCAGAATTGAAAGCGGTTTGTGATGTTTTTTCTTTTAAATCATGGCCTAATCCATAATCATCTTAGAATTTCCCACCCAGGGTGTGATCACTGTAATCCGCCCTGATTTTGTGAGTAATATAGCTGTTCTTGCTCTTAAACATCTGTCAGCGACGTCATAGAGCAATTTATTTTGCTCTATCAAGCAGCTTCAGGGGACCTTTCAACGTTTCTATCCAAGACGACGAGTATCACAGCAGCAAAAGTTCATTTACGTTGGAGTCGTCTACGGATGACCATGACTGCAAATTTCGTTCAGCAATACATTCAAAATTGTTTTCTTCGCGAGTGCGACGAGCAGCATTGAGTAGACCTATCGGAATTGGGTGGTCAGCGCGAGAACTTACATCATGAACATTGCCCAAGCAATTACTAACAGGCTATAACACTAGTGCCGGACAGAATCTCCCCCTAAATACCCCGTCAAGTTTGGCACGGGGTGTTTCCAACAAAGCGACAGATGTGATGAAGCAGTCAACAAAGTGTCTACTGTTGCTGTATCCATCATATGTTATGCTACCTCACTTCCAAGTGGTAGCTTGTGTGGAATCTTACGCGATTTCATAGCTGGTGAAAGCCATGAAGCGAGCAATTTCCGCATCTGACGCTTTGGCCGCCAGCTCCATGATCATTTCGAATTAACAACAGACATAAGCATATTGAAATGGTCTTGTTGCCCTGCGTGCAAGTAATTGAACATCGAAGGTTTCTCCCCACAAGAATAAAGTCTTTACACGATTCATTTGTGAGCCTGGCTCCAAGTACGAGTTGCCGTGCACTTTGGACAGAGGAAGCTTCAAATTAAAAAAATCCGCATAAATAACGAGCCGACCCTCTAGACGGGAGATTTTATAACTTCTTATGATTTTTATGCACCCCACCCCGAATATAAGTGTTCGGACCGGGCAGCTATGTTTAAAATCCTACAGGTCTCTTCTAGTTTTGCTGGAAAAAGTACGAGGTGGTGACAAGAGACCCACCACGTATGTTGCCCCCGAACCGTGAAGTGTCTGATGAGATCGGCTTGATTCTCAGGGTTAACATCGCGCCGCACTATATGCCTACTTCTAAGCAGTCATTATGACGCCATTGACGCGCGAAGTACGAAACAAATTCAAAAATGCAACTCAGTTTCCACAGTCACCACCTACTTTCTGTGCGACGACGACTGGCTGCAAGTGGAAATCGTGCATTTTTATAATGAGCTAATACAATCCGGATTCTAGCTTAACCGCCTTATGTATGAAAGGATGTACTGACGAACAACATGTTTAGTTCTCATAGCACTTGAGGTGTCTGATGGGTTTTATTTTGCTGATGAGATTAATATCATCAGCAATATTAATCTCAGTGTGGCAAGAACTTCAGGTTGGATGATATAAGATTGGATTTATCGTTCAGGGGATGTCTAACCTACGACATTGAAGTATTATGTTACGCAGCTGTTCAGGTCAAATCGTAGCGATGATCATCGTCAAATCACGATATATTTGTCCAGAGTTGCATCGGGGTTTCTCGTACCCTTGAAAGAAAGGGCGGGTTGCACAAGATGGTGCTACCGTACATAAGTGTGTATTACACAAGTTAGTATAATCACACATTGGTGTGGCTACACCGTAACCAGAAGCCACCACGCCAATAGTTATGCGTATTACTATATTTAATTAGGTTTTGCTATATGAACTAAGTATTACTATATTAATTAGGAAAACCTAACATTTATATATTGGCGGCTCTGCCGCAACTAAAACAATTAAATACAGTTTCAATATTTACCCTAGTTGAAAATTTTGGTACTTAGAAGTAGCGCATTGCGATCCGCTTCGCTAGTACTGGTTTTTGAAAAGAACGTAAGCTCGTTGATCTTAGCTTAGCTTCCTCTAAGCAAAGAGCTATGGCAGCTTCGCTGCGATAGTTGTGAGAGCCAACTGTGGAAACGACATTGAACACTTGTGAGCAATGCTCGAGTGCATGTGCTTGAATCAAGTACTTTTCAATATAAACAATTGTGTCTTCGCCGTCAGCAAAATTCTCTTGCTGGGTTGATTTATCTGGAAGCAAGGACGACGGGCAGATCCTACAAAGATATAGGCCACTGTAGATTGGCCTATTCAGCAACTTGTACGTGTATTGTGCATACTATGCCGACATGACACGACCCCTCCCCAGTCTGATTAAAATGGAATTCATATGCTGGGATGGCAATACGATGATTCTCTCATGCTTCATATTTCTTTCAGCAATTTAAAGCCACATGCAGTGGGAGAAATACATTCGCATCGCGCAGACGATAATCTGTCGCATGTCAAAAGGGTGATTTCGCGAATGAAAAAGACGATACTTAAATCATACAAGCCGGCTGCAAAATGTGTTTGTTTTGCTTTCAAACGCTGTGTGAAACAAGGAGATTGACAATTGAAATGACGCTTTGTCGTAGCGCGCGGTTGCACAGCGTCACAGCTGTGATGTGTCTAAAAGCTCACTGTATTACAGTACTGATCCATATGACACTCGGCACGGTGTGATGACTGGTGACGATGACCTCATATACAGATTATTGTGCAATGCACATGATGCGCCTTTGAACGGCCACCTCGAAAACGAAGAAAAAAACATACCGCTCAAGGAGCGCTATGTTTTGGTATCTACGAGTGTCTGAGCAAAACCTCGCGTACTAAGCCTCCCTCTGCTCCATAGCAGGAGTGCGGTTTTGAATCGCTGAGGGTGCCTTAAGCCAGGCAGTGTGGTGGCAAAGTTGAGCGAGCTAATCCGAGATCTGGCTTCTCTAAGCCTCTGTATCACGCCGAACCTAAAAATAGAGTCAAGTTACCGCCGAACTAAAGGAAACATATACAAGCTAGCCACAACAGGGTCGACGCCTGCTAACACTGCTCAATAAGCAAGGAGTGGACCATTTCACGCGAAACGTT